TGGACAGGGACGCGGTGGGAGAGAAGCTGCGCTCGGGTGATGCGGCGGTCGGAGTCTTGGAGAGATGTTGTGGAGGAGTTGGCCGGCGCCGGGGAACGCGAACCAGCAGTGTGAGTCCTCCCTTACCCTTCTCTTTCTGTGTTATAAGCAGCAGCGAAATCCTCCCTTACCCTAAGAGCCAAGAGTGGTGGTGTTGCCCGTGGCTCACCAGTATAGCATAAGCTGCTCCGTGTTCTGTGTTTGATCTTGTTCTTGTTCGGGTACACCTGATGATGTTACACAGTCTATCCTGCTTGCTTTCGTTTTTCTCAAGGTCAGCTTGTTGGTGGCGTGTACCTTTTTATTTGAATGTTTCTTTGACATCCATGAATTTTTGATAGGTGCAGATAACATGTCATGTCCCGCCAATTAGTATGGAAAATCGGATGATATTTTTTCAACGGTCAAACAGTAGGGGAATCCCCTACGGAATCAGATGATATTGATATTTCAGATGAAATGCAAGCATTCTACCGGAATGAACATCTTTAAGGTAATGCCTGAATAGTTCCTTTGCATGATGGGCTGATCCATGCATATACCTGTGATTTATCTGTCCGATTCTATTTATATGCAATTTTCATTAAGTGGTTTATGAGATAGGCAAAACAAATGGCTTAAAACTTGTATGGTAAAGGTTTTCCATGTTTGTAAGTATTCCATGCGGTATATGGAGTATGTTGTAAAAAGAATAGCGCGCATTGCACATGCAATATTATCAGTTTGCAGTCAATATGTTGTGGCGGTCTGTTTATTGCCTTTTGGTGAGAAGAAGAAGAGGAAGAGTGCTTTTTACAGTAAAAGAAAAAAGTCTTCTTTATGTTCATGACAATCGTAAAGTTTGTATGTCCATCAATATTGGTATTGGGCCACCGATTATGCCCCGTGGCAACGCACAGACAATTACCTAGTCTGTAAAAAGAAAAGGAAGAAAACACACACTTCGTCGCGCCATCTTCCATTGATACTACGAAACTACTACACAACCGACACTCCATGCACGATTTGTACATGATTGGTAATCAGATGGATGTGTTGCATTATATACTATGTTTGGATGGCTGGATGTTTCACTGAAACATCGTTCATGGATCATGAGAAAAGCGCCGTGTGCATAGCAATGTTCTTGATATTATTATGGCGGCTGCTAGGAATCAGGTGCATGATTTCCCTGATTAGCCGTCCAATTTGGCGCTGGTGCCCATCGATCGCAGCAACACATCCCGTTGTATGTTCTCCTCTCGTCTCTCAGCCACACTGCATCTCCTCTGTAACGAAAACGACGATGACGCAGAGAACTGATGCACCCACCGTGGCACCTGCCGGAGACCTCGCAGCACCGGTGCCACCGTCGAGCGCCGCAACTCCAAGAGCCACCGGTGACCGTCGCATCGCAGCACCAAGCAACCGGGTGCCGTGCTCCATGGCGACACCGAGCGCGGCAAAAAGCTTCAACACGGCACCGATGACAGCCCAACGAAGCTCCATTGCAGCCCCGGCAACCCCGGCGACACTCCGTTGCAGCTCCGGCGACCTCAGCGGGCACTTCAGCGCAGCACCGGCGGCCTCGGCGGTGCTTCATTGCAGCACCGATGACACCCCCACGAACTCCATTGCAGCTTCGGCGGTGCCCAATTGCAACCCAGGCGACCCTCGTGGTGCTCCATTGTAGCTCCGGCGGCGCTCCATTGCAACCACATCGAAAGCTTCAACGACCCCGACGATGCTCCATTGCAATATCTTGCCGATCGGAATGCTGCACCATTGGACGCTTGCACAGGAATGTTGTATAGGGGTTAGCCGCCCGCAGCGGTGGCACTATAGCTGGCCAAACGGGCCGTGCTAACTGGGTCGGCCCGATAGCACGCAGGCCCAACACGACCCAGGCACGACACGGCCCGGGATAAACGGGCCAGGCCCGGCACGCGACACGCCATGGGCCGTGCCTGGGCCTGGAGGCTAGGCACGCGGGCCGGCACGGCATGGTCCGTTTATGTTTTTTTTTAAAATATAAATATATATGTCCTATATAAATACCTAATACCTTAATATGTTTAATATTTTCATAGTGCATGCGTATTTTATTAGTGCTTGAATCTAAGTAGTAGTAGTGTTATAGTGTAGTCTTTGTATTTTTTTATCCTTTTGTAATTATAATGTATGTCTTGTATTCTTTTATTCTTTCATATGGGAGTTCTAATGATGTATATGTGTTAATAAAATTCTAGATTTATCTCACATAATAGTCTACCAAAATTTGCAATTTTCTACATTTTTTGGCCTTTTTTTTGCTGTTTTCAGAGGTATTACAAAGAAAAAGAAAAAAATCACGCCAGACGGGCCAGCGACCTCCAACGGGCCGGCGTGCCTCGTGCCGGCCCACGTAGCCTACGTGCCGTGCCTAGGCTGCTAGCTCCTGCCCGTGGGCCGGCACGACACAGACTGGTTATTATTCGTGCCGAGACGGGTCATGCCGTGCCAGGCATGTTTACGGCGGGCCGTGCCGTGCCGGCCCGTTTGGCCAGGTATGGGTGGCACTGTTGTCTGCTGCAAAGACCGCCATGGTTGGAAACCGGAGCACCACTCCTGTGAGGGTGAGTGGTGTTGCTTGTATGGTGCTGCAAAGTAGAGATGAGGCGTGTTGCGAGCGTCGGCGGCGTGGTGGCTGCAATTGGAGAGGGGCCGCCACGAGCCTCCAGTGCCTCTCACCGGATGTGGTGGAGAAAGAAATTCCGACGAGTTTCATCAGGGTCGTGCGTGAGAGGATAAGGAAGAACAATTTGTCTAATTCATATCTAGATGTTTTTTTAAGGATGTCACATCTAAGCTTCTACAAATATATAATGCAGCAACAAGAAACAAAAAAAAGTAGGACACAAAAATAGACCACAAACAGAGTGGACATCAATTTAAATGTGACATAACTATGTCACATTTAGATGTGTTCTAGATAGATCCAAGAAAAAAAGGGTGCGGTCAAAGCGGTTTCCAGAAAAGCGAAGAGTTACGCGATGTGAGGCTAGGACTGGGATAGTTGACCAAGCGTGAGATGCATTAATCGTGGGTGAGCCATAGACGCGTGACGCGCAGATGCGGATGAATTAAAGTGTTTTCCTATTATTATACCATGGATCTTTCACGTTCATCACTATCTATTATGGGCAGTGCTACATATCCACCGTCGGATAATGGAAAAATACCCGCCGCCTCGTCGACCATTGGATGGACACCCTAATAGTCGTCCGATGTGTCCACGTGAGCAACCACCATTTTACAACAAGAGTGATGTTATGGTATTTCGGCAACAAATGTCTTGTTGCAAGAAATTCCCGCAACAGAGGACTTGTTGCAGAAAATTCCCGCAACAAAGCTCTTGTTGCAGAAATTTATTGCAACAATGGCCTTGTTGCAGAAAAATAATTCGATGATTTTTTATGAAACAGGGCCCTTTTGCAACATGCCCTTTGCTGCAAAAACAAAACCGCCTCCAATGCCTCGTCGCCTTTGTCCACTCCGCCACAGGAGCTTGCACGCCGTGCCGATTGACTTTGTGGGCATTGGTATAGCCTACAGGATCTTCGGTGGCCAGATCCGGTGAGAAGGGTGTTGCTGCAGGAACTTGGGCGGTCAGGCGTTGCCGCAGGAACTTGGGCGGCCAGATCCGACGAGGAGGTTGGCGACGGCCATGTCGAGCTCGGGCACACCAGCGTTTATGGCGGAGGCAGCCGACCGCGGCGGTGCTCGCGCTGGACCATGCTCTAACGAGATCGGTTCCCATGTCGACAACATAGATTCCCATGACTGGCTTGCTCCTTATCCATTCATGAGGGACATATCGAAGAGGAAAGAAAGAAAACCAATCGTTGCAGAGACAGTGCTAAGTGGCCCTCCAGTAGGACACACGTCGCACATATGAGACGGCGGATTCTCGCGAGTGATCCACCGGCTGAAGGCTAGAGTTTCCCATCTATTATGGCATATTTTTCTATTGTCTTGTGCCAAACGGGAATAACCACATGTCATCGCCATCTTTTTTTATTCTGTGCCATCGATCTTTCATCCGATGGCCCAGCTTCATTTTTTTTTCTACCCAGGCCAGGGCGTACCGCTTCTCCCTCCTCCCTCCCCTCCCTGTAGCGCTTATCTCTCCCAGACTTTTCCCCATTCCCCTCGAACCCTAGCGGCCACCGGCGACGACGCCGTCGCCTGACCGCCCCGCGACCGACCACGACCTGCCGAGCTCCTCCGCGACACCCTCGACCCCGGCCTACCGACGGCTGCTCCTTCTCTTCCTCAAGGTGAGCTAGCTCGGCCAGAACCCTCCCTGCCCCAATTTTCTTTGTGCTCCGAGAGGAGCGGCGCCAAGCGGAGCTCGCGGCGGCGCAGGTGATTCCTATATCCTCCTTCTCTCATGTCTCCGGCCATCTACCTCTCCGCCGCAGCCCATCCCTTCCCCGTGCGTCCCCCACCCCTTTCCTCTCCGCCTGCCCCCCTCCGGCTGGTGCCCTCAGCGGCTGCGCGGGCGGCCACGAGCACGATCCCGCGGCCCATATGCCATTCATGCCCCCTCAGTCTCCATGTCCGCCTGCTCCCTGTCTCTGAGCGCGTTTGCCGTTCCCTGCTCTCCCTGTGTATGTGCGCTGGTGTCCACGATCTGGAATCCTTCAGCTAAAATGTTTCCCTGTCATAGCAGTTCGTGTCAGCTAGATTTTTCACAGTTCGTAACAGCACCATCATATGTTCACTTTTTTTTTTCTGAATGCTACTTGCAGTGTTTTATATGTACACCTAGTTTCTAAATGCTATTTTTAGTGTCTACATGTATAATAACCTATCAAATTTGTAATGTCCAACATCCAAACGGAGCCTAATGGCATTTTCGAACTTTTGGTTTTGACCGGTGGTATTTTAGCTATTCTCTCAAAACCGACCTCTCCTTGTCCCAGGACACAAACTCAAAGATGGGAAAGGGTGACAGGGAGAAGGAAGCGAAGCGCCGACGACGCGGCCGCAGCAGCAAGAGATCGCGCAATGCCACACCCTCTTCGGACTCTGATTCTTCCCCTTCGCCGGACTCCTCTCCTAGCCGCAGCCCTGGGCCCCGGAGTCGCAGTAACAGCAAACCTGAAAAGTCGTCCTCTTCTCGTCGCCGCCGCCATCACCATAAGAACAGCGGCCGCTCACGCAGTTCCCGGGACGATGATAGACATCGTCACCGGCAGAGGCGCCGGGATGAGCGTGCCCGTCACAGCAGCGATGGCAGCGACCTGTCGGGATCAGGCTCAGATGATTCAGGATGGATGGAGGAGGCGCAGGAAATCGTCCGTGGCATTCTCAGTGAATTCCCTGCCATCACCAGCGAGCTTCGTCAGGTATGGCATTCAGTAATTCGATTCGAGTTCTCCAACAAGAATTTTCTCTATTATATGTTGCCTGACTCTGGACCTGCACAATTGTACCATGAGAAAAGATTAATTCGGTTAGTTTGCACGACACAGTTGCCTATCTGACGTGAAAACTGTAGCCATTACAGCTGAAGTGGGTAAATTGTAGTTGTGTTCTAATTATGGTGATGTTTAAAGGTGAAATGTCCTAGTATCTTAAAATTGTAAAAGATAATGTATTTCAGGATATTACAGTGTCAACCAATTAGTATATGTAATGTGCATCATTTGAATGATGACATGCCTATATTTTTCACAGGATGTCAAACTTCTGCACTCAGTCAAATTTTAAGTCAAGTCGCTACCCAACAGTTTAGGTGATTTGTGGACTAATCGACTAGTTGACCAAGTCCATCACTAGTTAAACCAGCTAGTAGGCACTTCTACAGTCACAATTTCACAGCAAAAAATAACAGTAGAAAGCATTTTCAATGGGTATGAGCTCACTTATTAGTTATTACATGCACATTTTCTGTTGTTCACGACCACTCCTCTTCTATCAACTTGGACTTTTGGATTTTACTCAGCTGTTGCCTTTGCTACTTGCCTCTGTCGTCACCAGTTCCACTGGATAGAAGTTTTTGCCTTACTTCCATTAGTTTTGCCTTTTTGTACTATTGGCTCTGATTTGGAACAATAAGTTACTTGTGACTTTTGTTAACATGCAGCTTCTCCAAATGATAGATAGTGGTGAAGGCATTGATATTTCCGGAATTTCTGACAAGCCATTGGTGAAGCGTTTGAAGAAACTTTTCAGATCCCTGAAATTGAAAGAAAGTGCAAATGGAGCTTACTTGCTTTCAGCAAAAGGTGTTCCTACCCTTGATGTTGTTGGACCAGTATTAGAAGCAAGTGCCAAACATGGAAATGATCCAAATGAAACTGTGGCACAAAATAGACAACAAGTACCGTTGCCTAACTTTGACGTACAAAATAAAGATGACATCCCTCCTGAAGATGGAGGAAAAGTTGACCGGGAAGAGGACACCCCTATAAAGAGGTAATGCCTATGTGCCAGAATTGCTCTGTTAGAAAATATTGTTCCTGGTTATAGCTGACTTCTTTTGTCATGATTACTCTGCTAGAAAGTATTTGTTCTTTTAGCTAGACTTGATAAATTTGCCAGGTTTGGTCTATCCTGAACTAGTTTGGGTAAATTGTCCGTAATGTAATGTCAGGTTCTCGTTTGTACCCTAGTGGCACTAGCAAAGGGCACTGTGAGGTTTGTTTTATAACGCATGTCTACCTCCGCATACTGGCTATTGGCGTCTGTTCTGTATATGCCGGCATACAAGGGATTCAGGATCCTCTTTCTTGTTCTGTTGTAATTGTTGCCATTTCTCTTGCACAAAACGTGTTGCTATCCGGGAATTCGTGCTTTCTAGATTAGGCATGTACTAGGTGCTTAATGGAGAGGATTGCTCTTATAAATTACTTATTTCCTAGTCACATGTTATTTTCAACGCATTAGGATGCTAGTTTTCAATTATAGTCCAACAAGGTTTTGTTGCATGCAGGGTAATTGGTCCTGCAATGCCATCACGTGAATTACTAGCTGCAGCAGCCGAAATGACAGAGGCTCTTAGGTGCCGGTAAGATATTGTTTTATGACCTTATGATTTGTTACTTAGTCAACAGCTGACTACACAGGCCCTTAAGCGTTGCTTTGCTTAATGAGTAACTCATTCAGCACTGTTTTATGTTCTTAAATAGTAACTATGTTTTCTCTATCTCCAGGGATGCTGAATTGGAAGCTGATGATGGATTTCTTATAGGTCCTCCACCACCAGCCATGGTCGCTGAAGCTGCATCTGCAAATGAAGCCGAGCGATTTGAAGAGGTACACTTTCAGCGACATTTTCATTTTCGCAAAATTTCATCCAATGTTTTTCAGTACAAAAATGTAACTTTGAAGTCCCTCCAGCATGTGTCAATGCAGCATTCTCCAGTTATTGTGTGGTCTACACTATGTCCTGATTCTTGTAGTTGATTATTTCTATTCAGCTTCCATAATTGCCTTAGGTCCTCTCTTCATGCCAGACCTTGGTCTTTTAGCAGACATCATAAATTTGCTGTATGGCCCATTTGTCAGAAATATGTGCACCATCAGTATACTTGTTAGGCCATTTCTTGCTATGTCTTCACTATGTCTTACCGCAGCACCTTGGGTGTAGTTTACACTCTTACCAATTGCTTGCCATGCTTTTTGTTTATTCAGTTTGCTGCTGGCAGCATTCATATAATCTATAGAGCCAATTAGCGTGAATCATCTATATTTCCTGTGCTTACCTGGCATGTGATTGGTATTTGCAAAATCTTCTACTGAACATTATGCGAGGTTATTTGTCTGTGACACTAACAGGAATGTTCGTGAACATATCTTTAATTGTAATCGGGACCCCAATTTGCTGTTCTAGGATAGTTTGTTTGGAGACCTAATCATAGGCTTCTATTATAGCTAAGATTCTGAATGTTTAGCTGGCTTTTGATAAACTTCAGTGGATTGAAAATGATTTTTTTTCAGGACATATACTTGAGTCTTTCCTATCACATACCTGTTCTCATTTGTCGTGCACCATTAACTTTTAATCTTAATTTTCATGGAATTGGGTGTAGGTTACTCGAATATTGGGCGCTGATGCAGATGCACTCTATGATGTTCTGGGCATAAATTGGAAGATGTCGTCTGATAACATCAAGAAAAGGTCGTTATTTGTGTACATTCCATGCTTATTATACATATTAATATACTCCCTCCGTCCCAAAATAAGTGTCTCAACTTTGTACTAACTTTAGTATAAAGTTGTAATAAGGTTAAGACACTTATTTTGGGACGGAGGGAGTATGATATACCTGTATGTAGATAGGCAGCAGAAATTAATTAAGTTTTTTCACAATAGTTGCAAATGACGCAGATCTCACCTTCTGTTGAGAATAATGAAAATGTGCAGGATATTATATGATGGCAAATATAACAAGTTTAATGTTCTACTGTCTTGTAATTTTTTCACATCTCTGATTCATCTCTGTCATGAAATGAGCCCATATCATCATAGAGTTAAGAATGTGCTAAGCAAAACAAATGAAAACATCTATGGAGCTCTAGTTCCCAATAATTTACTACTCACATCCAATACCTCTTGAGGATAATTGTCTATGGTACATTGTTATAATCCTATGGAGATCTGTTGGGTTCATAAGTTCAATGCATTGCCCTTTGTTTTGCGAGTATGCAAACAGCAAACAGAATCCAACCGAGCAGTACATGCTTAGGTTGATTACTATTGAAGAAAACTCTTATGATGTTTCACAAAATAAACTTCTGGCAGACACAATTGGATGCCAAAATAGGCCATACCCCCAACTTCCCTGGCTATGTGCCAATACTTGTTCAACTTGTTCTTTGGTCCTTATTTCGAATATCCAAGTTTCAAAATTTGAATGGTGTCTTCCTACGGTTATCATCTGTCAAGATGTTTGGTACTTTGCCCTGAAGTTACTGTGCATTTGATACTTCACTGAAGTCGGTGAGCACCTGTTTAAAATGCCTGAAGTTGAGCTGCCAATTGATGATCTTTCATATCGAGAATCACTTACCCTGAAGTTGGTGTGCATCTTGTCTCCTGTATTGAGCAAGCTTATTGATTGATCTACTGTCTCTGTTTTGCCTTGTTATTTGTCAGCCTGATCAATCATTCTTATCTTGTATTATAGGTATTGGAAGCTATCTCTTTTAGTGCATCCGGACAAGTGCCCTCATCCTTCAGCACAGGAGGCTTTTGTGAAATTGAACAATGCCTTTAAAGACTTACAAGACCCTCAAAAGGTACATGTCTTGAATATCATATGATTTGCCAAATGTCACAATTATTTAAAATAGCTATCCATTTGCTTTCTTATGAAAAATAATAAATTAAATGTTTGGATGTGTTGAGATAAAATAGTCTGAAATGAGTTTCTGATTCCAAACAACAGAAAATATTATATATTTGCCAAGGAGAAAATATTGATGTATGATGCTGTATGCTCAAATTGCATTCTGTTCTTGGATAGGGCATCACTCCGCCTACAACTATTGACTATTTTGCTACAACACACATTTTAAGTTTGGTGGAAGGACTTATTACGATTTTTCTTGATTTTGGCCTGCTAATGGTCTGACAGTACCGTTTGTAGCAATGCAGGAAGTTTGAGATAGGTTGAAGGGGGAAAGTACTGATTTTCTTAGTATTTAACTTTGGTCGGTACCACTGTAAGAATAGCGATGCTTGCAGAATGAGTGAAGTTCAGTCTTCTAGAACTTACAATACACCTCATATCGCATTTTGTTGCCCACAACCAGCAATATGTTTTTACACTAATTAATTTGTTTTAATGCTAGCTCACTATGTGATGTCAGGAATTACTTAGCTTGCTTTCCCCTTCTCAACTGATATTTTGTGCTGACTACGTATCATTGATCGCAGAGAGGCGCAATAGATGAGAAGATACAAAAGAAAGAAGAGATGGAACAATTCGAGGTAACTTACGCTACATATTGATTTGTCAAGATCGCCTTTCTAGTGGTTAGGACCACAGACAATACTACTCTTAGTTGCATGAAACCTGATCCTTTTTTGGTATTTTTGTAGGTTGAGCTTAAAGCAATGCGCGAGGCTGCAGAATGGAGACGATTACAAGGTACCACTAACAACACAACAATGCGAAAACTCATAAATGTGCTAATGTAGGAAAGATGATAAGAGTTGCAGTTAATGATTTGGTTTCATGTGGTGGTGTGGTGGCTGGAGGAAAATTGTTTCTTAAAGCTGGGTTTGATTGACCATATGGTCCTATCATAATGATTTGATTTGCGCTTAACCTTCCTACCATAGATATTCTTTTCAGGCGTGTTTGTATTTCTCAGCATTTATTTGTAGTAATTACATTTAATGTAATATGGTACAGCAGATAATTGTGAAAAGTGAAGAATAGAACATGATATCAATATGGTATCTTTTGGAGATGGATTTTTGGCTCCTGAGCACTTACACACCCTGATAAACAGTAAAATCCGAAAAAATACCTTTTTTTTTCTTCCAAAAAACCTGAATTTCTAGACAACAAACATGGCTGAAGGCCCAGACCACCTGGATGTCATTCCTTCACCAAAAATTTGCATGCAGGTAGAACACTAAGCAATGTTTGTTGCCCAAAAAATTCAGCTTTTTTGAATTTGTTTTACTTTTTTCGGATTTTACCTTTCATGGCGGGTGCGTTTGAGCTTGGGAGCAAAGTACATTTTCTGTATCTTAATAGCTATTTGTTCTTAGGTATATCTCTTGAAGGCGATGAAGAACTTTTGGCAGTTCCGAAACAGCCAGAGGCACCACCTACACGAGACGAATGGATGACTACATTGCCACCTGAAAGAAAAGTAAATGATCATAATATATCTCCTTAATTCACTGTTTACCTATGCCCTAAAGAGGGAAACGGTACTTGTTACTCCCTCCGTCCGAAAATACTTGTCATCAAAATGGATAAAAAGGGATGTATCTAGAACTAAAATACGTCTAGATACATCCCCTTTTGTCCATTTCGATGACAAGTATTTCCGGACGGAGGGAGTACATGTTTGTATCTAATAATACAATTATTCCACAGGCTGGAGTACCAATGCATTCAACTACGGCATTTAGCATGAATGGCAAAGAAGGACGTGGTGACACAAGTGCATGGACAGATAGTCCACTTGATAGAGCCCAGAAAGCACAGCAGAAGTATGATTCTGCCTCTGTTGTTTTCGCTCTATGATACACTATCAGGCAACATGTTCTATACCAGCAAATATGACCAGAGTACTGTCACAGAGAGTGGCTTGGCACAACAAAATACCAGCAGTTTTTGGCGACATTTTTGTTCGTCATAGTACTTGACATGCTGATATATGAAAACAATGATGTACTACTGGTGATAATGTCAATGATGTTTTTTGCAGCTACTTAGAAGCCTACAACAAAGCAAAGGCAATTGCAGATGGACATGAAGAGCAGGGCAAAAGCGCAAATGCTTCTCTTGTGGATAAATACAACTCCTCCAAGCGGTCGGTATCTCTTGTGCAGAAGCACCGAGAGAGCAAAAAGGAGAAAAAAAAGCAGAAGCAACAACGAGGGAAGGAAGAATGGGAGGAGAACCACCCATGGAAGCCGTGGGACCGTGAGAAAGACTTGACCGCTGGGCGGCAAAATGTGGCTTTGGATCCAGAGAACACGGCACAAGGATTGTCGTCCCGTTTCTCATCTGGAGCTGTGCAGAGGAACTTCCTGTGAGCAATTGCAGCCAGGCTGCTTGAGGCAATTGCAGTCAGACTGCTTGAGCATGCCCTGATTGGTGGCCAGTACGAGGGTATGTATTTGGCGTCGGACCACAGAGTTGATAGGGGCACAGAAACCATAGAGAATGTGAGGTTTGTGGCGTTTGCTATACGAGCTAGGTTCGCATGTTTTCTGGAGAGAGCTGAAGTTACCAATACATATAAAAGAAGGTTTTGCTTGTGAGTTGTTTCAAACTGTATAACAATCCCAGCTAGGTCTCCGTTCATGGCTCACTATTGCCGAGTGTGAAGAAGTACTACATCTAGCAACATCCATTTGAGTGACATTTATTTTGGGACGGAGGGAATATGTTTTTAGAGTCAAAAGGATGGAATAATGTTGTATACAATCCTGCTCTGTTACAGTCATGGGCTGATCATGCTAATCTACTGATAACTTATTGCAAGTACAGTGAAGTGTGCGTTGGTTAAGTGATTGATAGCTTTTGCAAGTGAAAGGTGTTTTGCAAGTTGGCTGTTTAGTTCATTTGTTACGGTTACCTTTATGTTAAGCACATCACTTAGTGTTTATGGATAGATAAACTAATTGATAAGCCCATTCTGCACCCAAGTAATAAGCTCGCAAATGTTTAAACATAAAGGTTATAAGAGACTTTCTCTTCATCTTCCACTTATGGTTGCCCTTGTCCTGTAACATATTTCCCCTTAGTTCCTGCAGGCATTAACTAGTTATTTTGTTTTTTTCTTACAATAAACTCTTGCTTTGCTCAACAGAAGCACCGCTTGAAAGAGTTGAAACTTTTTTTCTAAGCTACAACATGGGAGTAATTTTTTCAAACTGATTTCTTGTTCAGAATTTGAACTTTAAAAGTTTTCATAGAAACGGCTTTTGATGACAATGTGCCCAAATTAAGTAACCTACACATGATCTCTCAGAGATTCATGAGTGCGATGTCGAGCCGGGGTATCGTGGGAAACTTGCTGGCTACTCGTAGGCGCCACGGTATGCCAATGACGAGGAAGAGACATCTGACGCAATTGATGGATCAGGCCGCACAATCAAAGAGCATCGTCCTAGTTTTGTTCCTAGCAGGTTCCTGGTGCTTCTTGTTCCCAAACAAGAGAGCTTGCTTTCTCACCATCACATATACTATGTAATTCGGCTCCAAACATGCATACATATGTTTGGGAGCACGAAACTAGTTAGGACTTGGGAAGGCCAACGTGGGTTACAACCTACAAGAGGCAGAAGGATGAGCAGAAGAGAGAGCATGGGGGAGTCTACATATATGGGCGGAGGATGACCAAAGGTGAAAGCCCCACAACAGCGGTTGGTGTGGAAACTAATGAACAAAGCTAAAGTAGTGTAGTTAGTGTGCAAGGGGTCTAGGACAACATATGCACATGTGTGTACTTTAGATATTTTTATGAAATTTGCTACATCAGTAGTTGGCCAGGCTGATGACTGTAGAACAATGTGGGAGGAGGAAGAAAGCAAATCGCCGCCGCAAATTACACCGTTGCTGTGTATGTGCTGTTGCTTCTGCAATTCAAGCTATTCAGAATTTCAGGTAGCTCAAGCTAGCTTGTTGTGGAATTTAGTTGGGGTACGACACTGCAATGCAGAGAGTTCAGGCACCCTTGTGCAAACAGAGTAGGCGCCCCTCAGAAACCCATCATAGACCAGAGGAGATGAAGTGATGTAAGTAGAATGAAGTGTGCGTTGGCCAAGTGATTAAGAGCTTCTCGCAACTGAAATGTGTCTAGCAGCACATTGGGTGTTTAGTTTCATTCATTACGGTTACCTCTAAAGATATTAGAGTACATCTTTTAGTGTTTCATTCATTCGGCACCCGGGTAATAATAAGTTGGCAAATATCTAGACACACGTCAAAACTAAAGCTTCCCTGTTGATCCGAGCCCAATCAAATTGGCGAATCCTGTTCCGACATAGGACATGGCACCAGACACCCTTTGACGCCAGACCTTTGTAAACCTTGAATTTGAAGGCAACTGGTTGAAGATCTGCTGGCATGTCAGAGAACACGGCACAAAGGATTGTCGTCCCTTTTCTCATCTGGAGCTGTGCAGGGGAACTTCCTGTGAGCAATTGCAGTCAGGCTGCTTGAGCATGTCTCGATTGGTGGCCAGTACCAGGGTATGTATTTGGTGTCGGATCCCAGAGTTGATAGGGGCACAGAATGACATAAACCATAGAGAATGTGAGGTTTGTGACATTTGCTATACGAGCTAGGTCCGGATGTTGTTTTCTGTGTGAGAGCTAAAGTTATCGATACATATAAAAAGAAGGGTTTTGCTTGTAGGTCTTCGTTCATGGCTCATTTTTGCCGAGTGACATGACCTATGCATTGGGACTTATAGTGATGGAATAATGTTGTATACTATCCTGCTATGCTATTGTCATCGCCTGGTCATGCTAACCAACTGATACTTATTGCAAGTACAATGAAGTGTGCGTTGGTTAAGTGATTGAGAGCTCTTGCAAGTGAAAGGTGTCCTGCAGATTGGTTGTTAGTTCATTTGTTAAGGTTACTTGTATGTTAAGCGTATCTTTTAGTGTTTACGGATAGATCAATTAATTGATAAGCCCATTCTGGCACCAAAGTAATAAGCTCGCAAATATTTTAACATATAATTAATAACAAAGGACGATTTGTTGACCATAGGCAAAAGAAGGAAGATGGAGCCAGGAACACAAGCTCTATGGGAGAACATGGTGAAGACAACCTATGGTTACCCTTGTCTTGGAAACATATTTCCCCTTTGTTCCGGCGGGCATTAGATGGGAAGACAACAACATTGAGAGGAATGACGGTGGTGGTTTGTGCGTGAGGAAGTAGATAACAAACGCGATTTGTTTGGTGACGGCTAGGGTTACCGTTTCCTCTCTATATCCAGTAAGGTAGGAGATATGTCAGTTAATAACTCATAATTAATTAGCACTGTGTTTTGTATTACACAATTGGTGTCAGAAACATCTTTCAGTGACAACAAAGCGGCATTTAACGGAAGTGTTGGATCGGACGGGACAATCAAAGAGCATCTATAGAATTTCACTCCTAGCAGGTTCCCGGTGCCCCCTGTTCTCAAACAAGGGAGCTTGTTTTCTCACCATCATATGTAATTCGACTCCAAACATACATATATATGGTTGGGAGCACTAGCTTGGGAAGGCTAAAGTGGACTACTAGAGGCAGAAGGGTGAGCAGAAGAGAACATGAGAGAGTATATGTGTGTGTATACACACACACACACACACACATACACACACACACACACACACACACACACACACACATACATATGAGCAGAAGGTGAGCAAAGGTGAAAGCTCCACAACAGCGGTTGGTGTGAACCTATTGAACAAAGCTAAATTAGTGTAGTTAGTGCAAGGGGTCAAGGACAACATATGCACATGTGTGTACTTTAGATATTTTTACGACATTTGCTATATGAGTTAATGTTCACATATTGTTTTCTGGAGATAGTTGTACTTTAGATATTTTTGATGGATTTCCCTCAAAAATACCTACAACTATCTCCAATCTAACATACCATGATGGCTTTTTTCAGTGTCGCTTCCTGATGAGCAAACCTTTGTTCTTGCGTGTAGTGAATGTTGTGGAGACATATGATCCTTACTTCAACCTGAGGAAGGATTGTTGCGGACAATAGTCGTTCTCTCCTATGTATAAACGCACAACTACTCCGAGGATGCTTGCACATGGTAAAGTAGCAAATGCCATTGATGAGATTGTCTGGATGGGGAGAGAACATGCCTTGAAGCCATGGTAAAATTTGACCACACCATGGTGAAGGTGTTTGGACCGAAACACCTGAGAGAACCAACTATCGAGGACATGGAAAAGTTATTGGCAATTGGAGGAGCAAGAGGTTTCTCAGGTATGCTCGGTTTAGTTGATTGCATGCATTAGCAATAGGAGAACCGCCCCAAAAGTTTTACATGGGTAGTACCAAGGTCACACCAAAGAGGGTACATTATATTGAAGCTTTTTCATCAAAAGACTTGTGAATTCGGCATGCCCGTTGTAAACATATTTTTCTATGAATAAATTTTATTTGTGTGTGTGATATTCATTATTATGTGTATTCATATCATCAAATGATTGATGTGCATGTAGTTGCATATACTATATATAGGCTTTGAAAGTGGGGGATGTGTTTGCACGGGTGGACATTTGAGGGGTGGGCGGACGCTGTCTGCGGATACGTCCGAACACGTCAATGGACCTATAGGGCTCATATTAGCCTAGTCCGGTTGTAGATGCTTTAAGTAACCCGTCGAGCATTGTAAGTGTAGTAGGATGTGTTGGGGAACACAATATTTCCAAAAATTTCCTACGATCACGCAAGATCTATCTAGGAGATGTATAACAACGAGAGGGGAGAGTGTGTCCACGTACCCTCGTAGACCGAAAGTGGAAGCGTTTAGTAACGCGGTTGATGTAGTCGGACGTCTTCACGATCCAACTGATCCAAGCACCGAACGTACGCCACCTCCGTGTTCAGCACACGTTCAACACGATGATGCCCCTCGAGCTCTTGACCTAGTTGAGGCTAAGGGAGAGTTCCGTCAGCACGATGACATGGTGACGGTGTTGATGATGTGATCCGCGCAGGGCTTCGCCTAAGCACTACGACAATATGACCGAGGTCGTAAACTGTGGAAGGGGACACCGCACATGACTCAGACAATTAATCTTGTGTGTTCTAGGGTGCCCCCTGCCCGCGTATATAAAGGAGGAGAGGGGGAGGCCGGCCGGCCCCTGTAGGGCGCGCTAAGATAGAGGAGTCCTACTAGGACTCCAAGTCCTAGTAGGATTCCGCTTGGTGAAAGGGGGAAGAAGGAAGGGAGAGGGAGAGGGAAAGGGGGACGCCGCCCCCTCCCCCTAGTCCAATTCGGACTGCAAGGGGGGGGGGGAGGGCGCGGCCAACCCCTTCTGGCCCTCCTCT